TGTTGACAAACTACATACGTACTTCTGGGAAGCCATATAGTTAATGGCCCTGCTGCAATCCTTCATGTTTCACTGACAGTGAGCACCTCTGGGCACACAAGCAGCCCAGTGCCAAACACCACACCCAGCCATGAAACTGGGGAGGTCCTCTGACTGAGCAGTAAGCACATTTGCAAAACTGACAGAAGTTTCCATTCTCTTATTTTCCTAGATCAGCGATGGCAAACCTTTTAGAGACCTAGCGCCAAACTGTTACCCCAAACCCACTTATTTATTGCAAGATGCCAACACTATAATTAAATCTCAATACTGAACATCAGGAAAAAAAAAAAAACCCTCTACACTAACATCTTTTGTCTTAAAATTAAGTTCAATTGAGTTAAAATTGTGAATCACCACAGCTGGCATTTGACACCAATTCCCATTGCTCAGGTTCAGTTCTATTCTGGAGATTTTTTTTCCATTACAGAATCAAAGGGACAGACTACCTAGCAGCAGAACATTTCTGCAATGTGGAAGTGTTTGCAGTCAACACTGACGGGTTCACCCACGCTGCCTCTGCAACTATGCCTGGGTGGGTTCTCTCAGAAGTTGGGGAGTTGCATGGGATGGTATACCTGCAAGAAGAATAAATGTTGTGTGCTCTCCTGAACCAGCTCCTCCTCAGCATTCTCAGGATAAAATTTGGCCAGGAAGTGAAAGGTGACTGGTTCTTCCTTTGAGACGTCATGGTCCAGAACCTGCGGAATTGTAGAGCAAAAGACACACACACTGGATGGGCCTTTCTTCCTTGTGTGCTACTGGCAAAAAAAATCTTTTGCAGGGAAGATATGAAATCTTTTTTTCATCACAGTTCTCCCATTTCCCAAAGGCTGTGATTCTACAGTTAGAAGCATTGAGTGCCATCCAAATAAGAGGTAATATCCACTTCATGTAGGTTTCTCAAGCCAATCAATCAATATCCCCAAGGGGTTAAGCAGAGCTAAAATGAAGGAACAAATGATCTCAAAAATAGTTTAATTGGGCCGGCCAGCTAGCTCAGCAGACTAAGTGCCTGCTTAGGCCGGGGTTCAATCCCTGGTGTGCCATGCCAGCCCTGCCCCTGGGGTGTGCACTGAGATGGTGACTAAGACTAGGCATGTTGGTTCATGCCTGTAAAACCAGCAATTGGGAGGCTGAAAACAGGAGAATCATTATGAGTCTGATCTATATAGTAAGACCCTTTAGATCCTGTACTAAATACAAAAATAAAATAAAATAAACAATTTAACAAAAATAGTTAGAAACTAGAAATATGTAACTAAAAGGTCTTGGACACTACCCTTTTGGAAGGCTGGAGTTTCTAAATTTTTTCCAAAGTTGTAGAATTTTCCTTTACTCTTTATCCTTGCAGCCCACCTCTAATGTGAAGGTCCAAGTAAAATACAGCTTGGAGACTATGAACTACATGTTTGTGAGATTGTCTAGATTTTAACTGAGCAACAGAAGTGAACCATGCCCACTGTACAACATTTGTTTCTAGGACCCTCCAGTGATGGCCCAGAAAATGCCTGTAGTGCAGTCAGTAAACCATTGCCTTTAATCTTCTCTAACAATTCCATCCACCCCCTGAAAAGCTTGAACCATCTGCTCTCCAGAGTGAATTTCATTTCAGAACATAAACATGCCATGTGACAGGCTACCAAGCTCCATTAACATGTGTCATAATTTATTTCCTTTGAGCAGCAGGTCCTATGTCTCCTGATGCCTCCAATCTAATATCCATTTGAACAACACTCAGGTATGATTTAAAATTCACTTTGCTGAGAATAATCAATGATAAAGTTTTTCTGTCTTTAATACATAACTTTCCATTATCCTGTCTCATTCCTGGGGTTGGAAAGTATCCAGGAGATTCAAAATAATCCCAATCTAGGACTGCCTCCCTGCGACACTGAGAGGTTCATGATCAGTGGGAATTACCACTTAAAATGATAACCAGCAGGGATTCCAACATGAAGACTGCAACTAGCATGTATACATGTGAACACAATTTGAACACTTCAGTTTAGAGTCACTCTCGTAAGAGACACCTCCTGTCACTATCTGTCATGCCATCCAGGAGATAATTTTGTGCTATTAGGTGAACAATTGCAGGGGGTATCACTTGGGTAAGAATTAGACATTAATTTACAATTTAGGTGTTACTAATAAAAATTCATGGTCCTGCTGCCCAAATGTCTTCATGCTTAGGTGGGCACATAAATAAGTAAGCATGTCTCTGCAAACATCAAAGGCCACACATAGGTGGCTCCTCTAGACAACACCCATTTCCAAGGCACATTAAAATGATCAGGGACCCAGGCCTCTGAAACCCCAGAGAATCCTGGGGACTGAATGGGCATTGTTTCCTCAGCACAGGCACACAGTTTATTCCTTAGATCTCATTAATGATTCATTCAAGTTGGGCCACCGCGTTCTCAAAAGTACTTTTAAAAGTTCCCCAAAGAACATAAGCCCCAAGAGAATCTTTCAAAGATATAAACTGTTAGCCTCTCTTTAGGGGATAGGAGATATAGGGGCCAGGGATACAGCTCAGTGGCAAAGTGCCTGCCACTGAGCAAGCACAAGGTCATGCGTTCAATTCCTGGTACTGACCCTCCCCCAAAAAGATAACAGTCGTTTTTATCCATAAAACCTGACTAGCATCGCTTCTCGGCCTTTTGGCTAAGATCAAGTGTAAAACCTGACTAGTGGTTCAATAAACTGAAGGGCATAAAGCCAGAAGCAAAATGGGTTAAGAAGTTAGGGGTGGCAAGGGTTTAACACTAGTGAGTTGTGCTTGCCCAGGAAAACCTGAGAGGAGTAGAAAAATCCGCAGCAGCTCCAGGACCTGCTTTCTGCATGATTTCACAGAGGAACTTGCCACCTTCTCTACCACGTCGTGGTGACACCCTGCGATGAGCAAATAAGCTAGCTGTGCACTGGGGGGATGGGGGGGCAGCAGAAAGCACACGCCTGCCCCACTGATTTCACCAAGCTCCACTCCAACCTTCTTGTCCATCTTGAGCCAGGCCACGGTGTCCTTGATTGTGTACTGCAGTCCAAAGAACCAGGTTTCTCGCAGCCCCAGAGTCCGACACACCAAATCGAACAGGTCCTTCCCTTTCCATTTCATCTGCAACGTACCAACCAACAGGGAACAAAAATCATAATCCGCTCACCCGCAAAACCGTTCTTCTCACTCTCTACTGATACTAAGATGGCTGATGAGCACTGAATTCCTAAATAATTTTAAAGCTTCCCACACAAAACTGTGAGTGGGAAAATACCAATTAGAGCTTAATGGCTTAATCACTGCAGAGCATACACAATACCTCCCTTGGACAGTTCCTCACAGATTGTAATATCCCCAAAGTTGCTAATTCAGGAAACCTGGTAAATAAGCATCCTCATTTAGGAGACTGAAGCCTCTTGATTTAACCCAGGGAGATGACCAGCTTCAGAGACACAAATTCCTTTGAGATTTTATTGGGTTTTTGTTTTTGTTTTTTTTAATCATGACTCTGCCCTTATAAAAAAGCTAGTGTTCTGTTGCTTTCTTTCTTTCTTTCTTTCTTTCTTTCTTTCTTTCTTTCTTTCTTTCAAGACTGGTTTTAGTAGGGTTTTTTTTTTTTTTCTAATATAGGTGAAGAAGGTGTGATCAAAATCATAAACCATGGGAAAAAAAAGACCCATGAGAATCCACAGTCCAATCAGAGGTGTCGCCTATCACAGATGTGTAACTGGGCCAAAGGGGAAGCAACTCACCTACCATACCTCCAACCCCCACACAGAGCAATTTCAAACTCTCAGTATCTAATGCAAGTGATGAACAAACATAAATATACTGTGAGGTATTTATCTGATAGCCTCACTTTTAAAGAACCTGAAGCAATGGCTGCTAAACTGTTTTCTCAGCTATTTAATCTTATAGATGGAAAAACAAGTTCAACATTTTATTAGAGGAGCAGGATGCACTGCAGCTTAGCAAATGTTGCCACCTAGTGGCTTTCCACTTAGATCATGCAGGATAGTCTCATACAACCCAACTACCGCGTCCCCTTCCCAGCCCTAACCATCCCCAAGTATTAGGGGTACACTGGAATATACACTTGGGAATAGCTGTGACCAATGAGACATATCACAGAAACCAAGGTCACAGTAAGAGTAATCTTAAGATTCAAAAGCAAGGTCATCAGACTCGAAGAAATAAGGCCGTAGAAGCCTCTGTTCTTCTGCCCTCATTAGAAATGTCCACACAGCCAGGCATGGTGGTACATGCCTCTTATTCTCAGCTACTCCCTTAGGCAGGCAGATCACAAATTTAAGGTCAGTCTAGGCAACTTAGCAAGAGTGTGTCTCAAAACAAGAATAATAACCATATGTTAAAAGGGGAGTGGGATAAAGAAGAATAAATCTGAGCCATCTGTAGGAAAATAGAAGCACCTAGAGAACACAATGTTAGATGAAAGAAATCAAACACACAAGCTTAAGTTTCATGTAACTTCTCTTACATGAGAAACCCAAAGTATAAGTAATTTTAAAAGTAAAAGATAGGGCTGGTGAGATAGCTCTGCAGTCTAAAACACCTGCTTAGGCAAGCTTAGGCAAGTGGAGGGACCATGGTTCCATCTGGGCACCACCTGCTGTGCCAGCCCCGCCCCTAGGGCAGGCTGAGCCAGCCACAAAAAAATAAAATAAAAAAGAATTAAAATAAAAGATAGACAACAGGAAATGGGATCAATCTTTGGCAAATGGGAAAGGGAGCTAGAGATGGAAGAGAGGTTGGGGAAAAAAGGAATTAAGAATTAAGTAAATGTACCTGAGCCCAAAGAATTAAATGCAAGCACCTTCTCCCTAAGATGAATGTAAAAATTAGGTACTGAAAACACATACTAATAAAAATAAATATTAAAATTGTTTTTAAAAATATAAAGTGGAGAGGTGAGAATATAGCTCAGTGGTAAGAGTGCTTGCCTTCATATATGAAGCCCTGGGTTCAAAATGAAGGAGAAAAAAGAAAACGAGACAGAGGTCTCTACCCAAGGCACATTAAATATACCTAAGAAAAAGAAATGGAAAAAAGTATAATAAGTTTTATAAGTTTATAAAAGCAAAAGGGGTCCTAGCCTAGGTCTGGTGAGTGTGTGGAGAGCTTCCTGCTAACCTGCGCCGGCGGGACCAGTCCCAGCCCAGGCGCAGTGTGGGCCGGACCCTCTCCCACCCCTTCGGGCTGCCCCCCACCACTCC